AAATTGTAATTAAATGTTGAATTTTAAGTGTTTTACAAAAAAAAGTAATATAAAGAAACATCTCTTCAGTTTTTCATGAATTTCTTGAAAAGTATTGAATCAAATATGAAATATGAATAACCAAATTGAAGGTAATTAAATAGAGAATTCAGAGTATTTAATATATATTTAAAAATAATGATAGTATTCAGAAAATAAGTCAATGAAATTGAAGGAAATTTGTAATCAAATGTCGAATTTTAAGTGTTTTACAAAAAAAGTAATATAAAAGAAATGAGTTGTTTGAATTTGTGAAATTTCATATTTTGATCAAAAGTAATGTAATTAGGTAACATATTTTGATAATATACACAATTTTGATGTAAATATTCATTGTTTAATTTGTTTAAATTAAATTATTAGAAACATCCCTTCAGTTTTTGATGTATTTCTTGAAAAGTATTAAATCAAATTTGGTTTATAAATAACCAAATTAAAGGTAATTAAATAGGGAATTCAGAATATTTAATATATTATTAGAAATAATGATAATAAGTCAACGAAATTGAGGAAAAATTGTAATTAAATGTTGAATTTTAAGTATTTTACAAAAAAAAGTAATATAAAGAAACATCCCTTCAGTTTTTCATGAATTTCTTGAAAAGTATTGAATCAAATATGAAATATGAATAACCAAATTGAAGGTAATTGAATAGGGAATTGAAAGTATTTAATATATTTTTTAAAATAATTATAGTATTCAGAAAATAAGTCAACGAAATTGAGGGAAAATTGTAATTAAATGTTGAATTTTAAGTGTTTTACAAAAAAAAACGTAATAAAAAGAAACACCTATTCAGTTTTTGATGGATTTTTTGAAAAGTATTGAATCAAATTTGGAATATGAATAACCAAATTGAAGATAATTAAATAGGGAATTCAATAGACTTAATATATTATTAGAAATAATGATAATATTCTGAAAATAAGTCAACGAAATTGACGGAAATTTGTAATGAAATGTTGAATTTTAAACATCCCTTCAGTTTTTGATGGATTTCTTGAAATGTATTGAATCAAATTTGGAATATGAATAACCAAATTAAAGGTAATTGAATGGGGAATACAAAATGATTAATATATTAGTAGAAATTATGATATTAGATACTGAGGATGTATTTTTTTTTTGAAATTCTTTAGTAATTATTTTCTTTAATTGCAAAGATGCGCATGGATAAATACCGAGTGCATAGACTGCGGCAAAGTGCACAAAGGCGACAAGTGCATACACATACAAAGTGTCGGCGCGAAAAAGGGACTTTCACTCACTTTCACTCAGTCACCGCTCTCGGTAATGCCGAAGTCTGCGAAGGAAAAATCTCGATGTAAGCAAATTAAATAACAATTTGGCATCGAACGAACGAACGTACGGTCGACCACTTTCCACATTAACCTCAAGAAAAACACCGTTCGTCCGAGGATTTCTAAGCTTTCCAAAACGTCGAGATCAATAACAAATTATACAATCCAAAACAAGCATCATCTCAATACCTTCTTCAAAAGACAAACGAAAATTACTAAACGTTTATTTATACTGAGCACCGGAATCGAAAAAAACCTGACGCATTATCTAACATCAAGGTCCTTATTTACGAGTGTCAATATGACTACTTTTTTTTTTATTGTATAAATTGCAAAATGTTTACCACGAAGACTTGGCTAACATTTTTTTTTCTTTGCAATGTCCTCTGCACGCGTTTTTTTGTTGAAAATGATGTATAAATATTAGTTTGACCTTACAACCGGAATTTGTGACGAAACAACAGTTCCAAATCTATCATATTCGAATGTGAGAGCAATATTGAACGTAATATATTTAGAGAAAAAAAAAGTCAGATTAATTTAAATCAAAGTGTGATTTTTCCTGTTTGGAAACGGCCTTGCTTTCGACTTCCTCCGCGATTTCCTGCTCAGAGACGGATCAAAGCTACCAGTAAATGTCAAAAAAAGAAAACAAAAACTGCAGTTTTTTTGTGATTAATTTATATTTTTAATTGGTTATTGTGCTGAGGTATATGGTTTGAAATTCGTTAAATCTTTCGTTGATTGACCTCAGGAAAAGGTGCGGACACACCCAAGATGTTTTCTCGCCGATTTGCAGGATTATCAAGTTTTGGTGTATACAGAGTTGCCTATAAATTAATTTTTATATGGAACTTTTTGTTTTTAGTACTACTACTACTAAGAACTTATTTAGATCATGGCGCAGCATTAGCATTCCGGCGCGGGGCTAATGGGATTATGTGGCACGAATAAGGATTCGTTAAGGAGGAAAGCAAATATAGATAACTTGGAGAGACGCTCTAATAAACGAGCGCCATTGATTCCGTTCGAGCCAAATTCAGGCCTGGCCTTTCGAGGAACGAATCAAGGATACATGCATGACTGGTTGAACAATAAAAAAAATTATGATATATACACGTATAAATAACAGCAGTTTTGGGCGTGATTCGCTTCCTGTCCACAAACATACATTCTTTAACCAAAACATTTCAAAATCCTTCACTAATTTAATAAACTTAATTAACTCATATTTCCTAAGCTTTCTCTTAAATACATGATTTGATCCAAAAAAATAAAATAAAAGTGAATGCGACAATCGTTACAATACTAATCTACAACTTTCATCCACACTAATTTACACCCATTAACACTTATTTAACGCATATTTCATAATCATACAAATATAGTTGTAGACAACATCAAAAAAGTGAATGCTTAAGAGTTAAATGCGTATTTTGTTTGAAGACAGTTGATGTCTTCATGAGCACAATAGGCTTTTAACTCACGAAACACACGTATTCCATTAGCAATAGAACACAAATCACCGTGAGACTTTGTTTTCAAATTACACACATATATATTGCATTATTACTTTTTTTTCGACGACGAAATCGAATTACCATTTAAAAGTTTAATTGCTCAACAATATTTTTTTTTAATTTAAATTATGTTGGTAATGTAATAACAGTAATAACTAAAACTTAAAAATAATTCACTTTCTAAAAGCGATTAATTCGATAATTTTATCGAATTTTTAGATTATTTATTAATAAATCATTTCAATTACCTGTCAAATTAATATAATTGATTTATATATTTTTTTTGTAGTGGTAGTGTTGTTCAATTTAAATTATAATTTGGGGTTCCATGACAACACAAGACAAAAAAAGAATAGTGACAAAACAGAACATCGAAAAATCTTCAAAACTAAATAGAAATAAACAAATGACAAACATTGATTATAACATTAATTATATATTTAGATGTGTTATCTATATAATTTTAATATTTTCCGATGTTCTGTTTTGTCATTTCTTCTTGTTTGACGTGTTATTTTTTTAGTATTGTCCTGTTTTATCCTATCACCACAATTTGGTTATTAAATTAACGTTGGAAATTGTTTTAAATAATTATTTCTGAGTTGGTATCACTATTACCATTAATAACATAAATCATATAATTAGAGAAAAAGGGAACATATAATTCATGAAGACAAAATTAGTGATTTTGTTTGCAAAGGAAATGTTACATAATAATGAATTTCAAATAAATATTCAAGATGTTGTCAAATTCGGTTGTCAAGTAAAAGTCGCCATCTATGATTATTTGTTTAATTAATTAAACAAACGCATTGCATTAAATGTCATTATTTCAGTAAGTTTTGATGTAATTAATATTCGCGTTTTGGTGATCAATTTACAAGAAAAATGGAATTATTTAGAAAATATAGATTAAAATTGTTACAAAAACTATGAAAAATAACAATAAAGAATATGAACAAATGTATAAGGTAAGATATGAAAAACTTAATTTTCTTTTAAATATTTTAAATTCGCCGTTTATAGTTATTGTTTTGAATTAATTGGAATTTTAAAAACATCTCTAGAACGATTCTGAAACAAAAATATTTTGCATTATAAATAACCCTAAAAATAAGAAAAACCTGTCAAATTTGCTTGTCATATTAAATTCGCCATCTATGATTATTTTTTAATTAATGTGATTACATTAATAAAGATCATAAGATAAAATAGAACATCGAAAAATGTTCAAAACTAAATAGAAATAAACAACTGACAATAATTGAATATAACAATTCTGTTCTGTTTTGTCATTTCTTCTTCTTTGACGTGTTCTTTTTTTAGTATTGTCCTGTTTTGTCCGATCACTATAATTTGGTTATTAAATGAACGTTGTAAATTGTTTTAAGTAAATAATTCTGAGTTGGTATCACTATTACCATTAATAACATAAATCATATAATTAGAGAACATATAATTCATGACGACAAAATTGGTGATTTTGTTTGCAAAGGAAATGTTACATAATAATGAATTTCAAATAAATATTCAAGATGTTGTCAGATTCGGTTGTCAAGTAAAAGTTGCCATCTATGATTATTTGTTTAATTAATTAAACAAACGCATTGCATTAAATGTCATTATTTAAGTAAGTTTTGTTGTAATTAATATTCGTGTTTTGGTGATCAATTTACAAGAAAAATTATTAAGAAAATATAGATTAAAATTGTTGCAAAAACTACGAAAAATAACAATTAAGAATATAAATAAATGTATAAGGTAAGATATGAATTTTTTTTTGAATTAATTGGAATTTTAAAGACATTTCTAGAACGATTCTGAAACAAAAATATTTTTCATTATAAATAACCCCAAAAAATATGAAAAATTTGCTTGTCATATTAAATTCGCCATCTATGATTATTTTTTAATTAATGTGATTACATTAACAAATACCATAAGTTTTTTACTAATTTGTAATGTAATTGATATTCTTGTTTTGATGTATAATAGCTAAAAATACAGTTTTGAAGTGTAATTTGTCAGTGGGAAATGTGTTCGATAGAGATAGAGAAGCGCGAAAAGTGAGATAATGTAAAGTATATTATATTGGATTTCATTTAGTGGTAAACAGTTTACCAATAATGCTTTCCATATCAGGTGCTTTACGGACTCGCAACTATATTAACTTTGCATTGTTAATTAAGCGGTCGCCGGTGCGGTTCATCCTGGTCTACCATAACGAGCGCTTCGGTAAATACAAATATGATTAAACAAAATATTTCCATTGTTCATTAAACCGAAGCTTAATTGAATTTTAGTTTAAAAAAAGAAAATAAAAATTTAAAAAAAAAACAATATATTTTTTTTTTTTATTTCGGATTTAATTAAGTTCAATTGAAGTAGTTAAGGCCCTTTCAGGAAATCTAATTAAGGTTCTTGTTTTCTTTTCTTTTTTTTTTGGGTTGTTGCAGCAGCAGCAACAGCAGTGGCGTAATCTATTGCCACCTCAGGGTACCAGTTAGTGACGCTTGCGTGCGGCGCCGCGACGCCGTAACCCCGCCCGATGGACGCCAGTAGCATAGCAGCGATGGACAAGGACGCATTGAAAAAGCAGATCGAGAACATGAAATACCAGGCTTCAATGGAGCGTTGGCCACTGTCGAAGAGCATCGCCGCGTAAGTGCCCAAACTAACACACTACACACAAAAAAAAAGAAACAATATATAAATTAAGCTAAAGTTATGTCACAAAGTATATAGTTGTCGATAGGAAAATTGGATTAGTTGAAGCGATTTCGAGCGCAACCCCCACGGTTTTAACGAAGGGAGAAAGAGACAGACTGGGGCGCGTATCGACCCCGGGAGCGCTTCACGAATACACCCCCCTTTTAGTTTTTTTGACTCACTTTGACGCACTTTGTTATATTCACGCGTGTTTTATTCCATTCCTCGAGATGCCTCCTACACTTCCTACTATGGAGACACCTCGATTCCGCGCTTCTTATCTTATCTCTGGAAACTAATTCGAGCTAATAATTACCCGAATCGTGGAGATAAATAACCTGCTGGGTTTTTCCTCGTCTGTTTTTGTTTTGTTTAGTTGTTTTGTAACAACAAATATGATCGTGCCATTAGTCTGGATCGATCGGGATGGGGACGACGCCCCCCTCGACGAAAACAAAAACATTTCTATTGTAATTAGAGCAGAAGATGAAGCGGATGGTACGGTTCAAGTGGGCCGCTGACACAATGCGAGTGCGTGAGATGATCTTTAATTTTAGACACCAGATCTAAATACAGAGAGAGAGAGATGAGTGTTAGTGTCTCCTTTGGCGCAGGATGAGAGGTTTTAATTTGAGAGAGAGCATCGATTCCGATTTGATCTCATCTCGCCCACCAAAATGCCAATTTATCGATTCACTACTGTGTCTTCCAGCTCTTGCGCTACGCACACAAACTCTCCTATACAACATTCAATTCAATACAGTTTCCCCAAATCCAATCAAAGATGTACATAAATTTATCCCACATTGCTTTTGTTTTAGCTGCAACATTCAACTATCAAAGTTTCACAATTCCTTACAATTAATTATTCATATGAATTTATAAATTTTGAATATTTGCAATTAAAAAAACAACTTTCATTATGATTCAAATGACAATTATTTTACAAAATTATTGATTTTTAAAAAAATTAATTAATTATTTAGATACCAAATGTAATTAATATGTGAAATTCAATTTAAATTTTAGATTAAAATAATTGTAATTAATAGAAACATAAAATCTAGTACAATTTCACTGAATAAATTAAATTTAATACATTTATTTTACATTTAATACAATAAAAAAACAACAACTATTATTATGATTCATTTTATTTTACAAAATTATTATTTTTTTTTAAATTAATTAATTATTTATGTACCAAATGTAATTATTATGCGAAATTCAATTTAAATTTTAGATTAAAATAATTTTAATTAATAGAAACATAAAATCTAGTACAATTTCACTGAATAAATTAAATTTAATAGATTTATTTTACATTTAATACAATAAAAAAAACAACAACTTTCATTATGATTCATTTGACATGTTGTAAATGTCAGAAATTAACAATTTAATTAAATAAAAATAATTTTCTTTTACAAAATTATTGATTTTTTTTTTAAATTAATTAATTATTTATGTATGAAATGTAATTAATATGCGAAATTCAATTTAAAGTTTAGATTAAAATAATTGTAATTAATAGAAACATAAAATCTAGTAAAATTTCACCGAATAAATTAAATTTAATAGATTTATTTTACATTTAATACAATAAAAAAACAACAACTTTCATTATGATTCATTTGACATGTTGTAAATGTCAGAAATTAACAATTTAATTAAATAAAAATAATTTTCTTTTACAAAATTATTGATTTTTTTTTAAATTAATTAATTATTTATATACCAAATGTAATTAATATGCGAAATTCAATTTAAATTTTAGATTAAAATAATTGTAATTAATAGAAACATAAAATCTAGTAAAATTTCACCGAATAAATTAAATTTAATAGATTTATTTAATACAATAAAAAAATGTTATTTATACTAGTTATAAAATAAAGTATTCAACTTTCAATGTGATAAATATTTATATTATATTCTCTTTCGTATTAGATCTATTATAGACATCATCAAATTTGTTCTTATTTTGTATCTTCAATTTACATATTCAAATCTCAAACATCTCAATTATTTTGTGTTTTTTTTTTGTCCAATGAACATAATTAGATATTTATATAAGTTATGTAAGAAATAAATGCATTTGGTTTTTTAAATTATTCAATTCTATAAAAAATCATATTGTTTTTTTTTATAAAATGAACATAAAAAGTGTATGAAAATTTACATTATTTATAATAAATTGGATCAATTCCAGGCGAAACGTAATTATTTAAATTTAGTTGTTTTCAATTTGCATATTCAATTATCTAAATATTAAACATTAACATAATTAATTATGTTATAAATAATTTGAAAGCGTTTTTCGTATAAATAATTATGTAGAATTTAGAACTTCCTCGTTCACCAACTGTTCGTTAATTTAATTTAACAAATATATTAACATTAGTTTGTGCTAAATTCTAAATAATGGAAATTGTGATTTACAAGTGTTAAAAATAGAAAACTTTGGAAAAATGCAACTTGCACAATATTAACACGTTTTTATTTGCCAAGTTTTATAAGCATGTAAGTTAATTTTAATATAGAATTGACAAATGTAAGGTTCTTTTGTATAAATCATTTATATTTAGTGAAACTAATTATTATATAATCACAAATAATGTACTAATTTATTGAAATCTGCTGCAAATAACGTGAATAACTTTGTTAGAATTTGTAAATATTTGATTTTGGAATGACGATTGAAAACGAAATTGGTTTACACATGAAATCATCAACAGCAATTTGCAAATTAATAGCTTTTCCACAGACAATTACGTTGTCCACAAAATCAACTCCGATTCGCATATAAATGTGCACTGGCAAAATCTCTGAAAACTAAAAGCAATTTGGACCGCATCCAAAATAGTAATATTTGCGTAAACCGAGTCTAATTAAATTGTTGCAGAGCTTTGGTAATTTGCGAGTTTTCAAACTCTAAAAAAAAAAAAAACTAACCAACAACGAACAATGTTTACCATGGAGGAAACTCTACTCCATTCAGCAGAAACGAAAACAGAACTTCCCAAACATTCAATTACAATCCTCGACGCAAACGAAATGCAAACACAAAACCCTTCATCAACGAAACTGTAATTTAGTTCCTTCAGCGCAAACATTCTCAACTCATTCCTGATTGCCTCGAATATTACTAAAAGTTTCATAGTATTAGATTTAGTTTAAGTTACGTAATTTTCTGCAGATGCGAAACGAAGTTTCATTGTATTTAGTTACCTAATTCGCAGATATGAAACTGGTAGTATTGTTAAGAAAAAGAAGAGCGGAGTTTCTGAAGATTGAATTGTTGAAAGAAAATACGATTAAAATGAACTTGAACTGTAAGTTTCAGCGTCTTTTGTTGAAGAATTGATTCAGCGCGCGTTTTTTTTGCCTCTTCTGTTTGTTTGTTATTTTGTTTTGTCCCTTTTCATTCTTTCTCGGCCCTTTTGGCTGCGACGTGAGTGGATGGGGCTTGAATGGAATGGGTTTTGGCTCGAGTTCAAATCCTCGCGCAAAGAGGGGTTATTTGTTTGCGGCTGCGAAACTGGGCATTTCGTGCATCCAAATGGAAACAATGCCGATGATTCCGTTGCGTAAGAAATGGTCTTCGCAAAAACGGAGTCGTTTCATATGCATATTGCTTGTGCATACGATCGTGTTTCATACCGTTAGATACGTGTACTGTTGTATTTATTGAATAACGTCCGTGGAAATGGCAGACGTAATTGCGAGGAATAAAATTACTATGATAATTCGTTTGCGGCGATTATGAAATTTGTGTAGAACGCTCGTAAAATTTGCATTTGATTGCGGCACAATCAGCGATGAATATAGAATACAAGTAGCTACAATAAAACAGATTTTGCAATTAACCTAAAACAACCGACACTTGCCGAGTAGCGAGACAAGTAAAGTACTGACTTGTCGAGTAATGAGACAAGTATTGCAATGCTATAATAATCATAGTTAAAAGAGGATTTAAGACTTTGTAGAATTTCTGAAATTATACTTAATATATTTGCATGTGTTATGTAAATAAATCGGTGTGTTTGTAAATACTCTCGGAATACTGTAAGCTTATGTCGCATGTGGAACATGCAATAATGATTGATTTAGTGCGCTGAGCGTTTAATGTTAATGAAATATTGATTTATATATTATGGTATTAAATTCTCAGTATTACGTTTCTTCGCTTGAAACATTGATTCGAGAATTAATTTTTTTTGTAGAGATCAAAGAAGAAATTCTGTATAAGAATGTAATTCCAAATTCAATAATTCGTGTCGAACGTGATTTATATTTGAGACATTAAAATGTTTAAGTACAATAATGTTGTTTTTAGAGAAAATCAAAGATTGTTTTGGTTGTTTTCTTCGTAGATTTGTTTATAAAAAAGTTGGTTTTTAGCAGGAAATCGAGCTTAGATAATTCATTAATTCGTAGCTGAATGTGCAAAGCGGAAATAACGAGGATTAAAGTTGGCGCAATCTTTCGTTCGTCTCGTTTTGCTAAGGATTTTGTTGGGACGCGAACGCCTTTGGCGCAGTGAGATTCATCATCGTTTCAGGTCACGTCTCCTCTGACCCTTTTCTTCAAAAAGTACAATTTAAGTACAATAGTTTTGTTTTTAGAGAAAATCAAAGATTGTTTTGGTTGTTTTCTTCGTAGATTTGTTTATAAAAAATGTTGGTTTTTAGCAGGAAATCGAGCTTAGATAATTCATTAATTCGTAGCTGAATGTGCAAAGCAGAAATAACGAGGATTAAAGTTGGCGCAATCTTCCGTTCGTCTCTTTCAATTTTTTTTTGGTAAGGATTTTGTTAGGATGCGAACGCCTTTGGCGCAGTGGGATTCATCATCGTTTCAGATCACGTCTCCTCCGACCCTTTTCTTCAAAAAGTACAATTTAAGTACAATAGTTTCTTTTTTAGAGAAAATCAAAGATTGTTTTGGTTGTTTTCTTCGTAGATTTGTTTATAAAAAAGTTGGTTTTTAGCGGGAAATCGAGCTTAGATAATTCATTAATTCGTAGCTGAATGTACAAAGCGGAAATAACGAGGATTAAAGTTGGCGCAATCTTCCGTTCGTCTCTTTCATTTTTATTTTGCTAAGGATTTTGTTAGGATGTGAACGCCTTTGGCGCAGTGAGATTCATCATCGTTTCAGGTCACGTCTCCTCTGACCCTTTTCTTCAAAAAGTACAATTTAAGTACAATAGTTTCTTTTTTAGAGAAAATCAAAGATTGTTTTGGTTGTTTTCTTCGTAGATTTGTTTATAAAAAAAGTTGTTTTTTAGCAGGAAATCGAGCTAAGATAATTCATTAATTCGTAGATGAATGTGCAAAGCGGAAATAACGAGGATTAAAGTTGGCGCAATCTTCCGTTCGTCTCTCTCATTTTTTTTTTGGTAAGGATTTTGTTAGGATGCGAACGCCTTTGGCGCAGTGGGATTCATCATCGTTTCAGGTCACGTCTCCTCCGACCCTTTTCTTGAAAAAGTACAATTTAAGTACAATAGTTTCTTTTTTAGAGAAAATCATAGATTGTTTTGGTTGTTTTCTTCGTAGATTTGTTTATAAAAAAAGTTGGTTTTTAGCAGGAAATCGAGCTTAGATAATTCATTAATTCGTAGCTGAATGTGCAAAGCGGAAATAACGAGGATTAAAGTTGGCGCAATCTTCCGTTCGTCTCGTTTTGCTAAGGATTTTGTTGGGACGCGAACGCCTTTGGCGCAGTGAGATTCATCATCGTTTCAGGTCACGTCTCCTCCGACCCTTTTCTTCAAAAAGTACAATTTAAGTACAATAGTTTCTTTTTTAGAGAAAATCAAAGATTGTTTTGGTTGTTTTCTTCGTAGATTTGTTTATAAAAAAAGTTGGTTTTTAGCAGGAAGTCGAGCTTAGATAATTCATTAATTTGTAGCTGAATGTACAAAGCGGAAATAACGAGGATTAAAGTTGGCGCAATCTTTCGTTCGTCTCTTTTTGCTAAGGATTTTGTTAGGATGCGAACGCCTTTGGCGCAGTGAGATTCATCATGGTTTCAGGTCACGTTTCCTCCGACCCTTTTCTTCAAATTCCTCCATCTCCTCTGAGCTTTCACCGAATCACCACCACTCTGTTGTTGTTTACCTGTCCAATTTGCTCGTCCGGTCGAGATCACCAGTTTGAACCGGATAAACGGAGCGAGCAGAGGAAACAAAGGCAGGACGTAATTAGATTCGCGTCAATTTAAATCTTCCGCCCAAATCTCTCTTTCCCCACGCACGCTTTGCAAAATGCAAATTGCGCGAACAGCCTGGAATCGCGTTATACGAGATTAATGGGGAAATTATGTCATCCCCCGCACAACGATGCGTCAATCGATGTCGGATTAATGAAAATCGTTCACCGACATTTTTTCAATTGTCGACCTTTCCATGCATACAATTTCATCTGTCTCTTTTTTTTTGTTCGTCGCTCCAATTCTGCTTCACTGAATCTCATCTCTGCACATTCAGCGAAACGCAGAAATAGAATTATTTGTGTGCACGTTTACATTATTACCTATCATCTGCATTCGCATTCAGAACTAAAAATAAATCTTCGATTTCATATTCTAACATGCATTGAAATCAAATATTCTATTGAAATCTGTTCAATTTCTTGATTAATACCAAATACTTAACACAATTAGAACATTGAAAACGTATGCAATACGACAAAAATTAAAATTGTAATTTTGCACAGAATTTGTAATATTTTCAAACTATAATCAATCAATTTATTCACTAAGCGCTTAATCCTTAAACAGAATAGCAAACATAGATTTTGTTTGCGAAGCGTGTCGATCTCAGTAAAAGCATTTGTATTTCTTAGGAGGTTTCCTTCTCATTCGATCATCAATCACTGCAGCTTTTGTGTGAACATCGGTTGTTACTCTAACAAATTGCCTTCGCTCTACTAAAGAGCTTCCCATTTATCTCGATTCAGAACGTAATTGGATAGTTCTACAAAAATAATTAATTACACTTTATTCAATCAACAAACTTCTTTTAAGTTAAGAATTATACAAAATATACTGATTTATTTACAAAATTAATGTTTATTTATTGAGAAAATCATAGTTTTTAATCAATTTCAACGACAATTAAAAGAAATAACATTAATTTAAATTTCAAATTATATCCAAGTTAGGCAACTTTATATACACGCGTGTATAAAAACAGTAGACTTTATTGTTAATTTTTTTTAATTATAACTTGCAGTTTATTTATTTAAGGAAATCTTCAATCAATTATGATTATAATTGATTTTTTAAACATTAACTATTGTTTCTCTTTTTGTTGTTATGTCTTTGGATTAAGAAATGAGTGAATGTTAAAACAAATTTGAAATTTATTCTTATTTTGTATCTTCAATTTACATATTCAAATCTCAAACATCTCAATTATTTTGTGTTTTTTTTTTGTCCAATGAACATAATTAGACGTTTGTATAAGTTATATAAGAAATAAATGCATTCGGTTTTTTAAATTATTCAATTGTATAAAAAATCATATTGTTTTTTTTATATAAAATGAACATAAAAAGTGTATGAAAACTTACATTATTTATAATAAATTGGATCAATTCCAGGCGAAACGTAATTATTTAAATTTAGTTGTTTTCAATTTGCATATTCAATTATCTAAATATTAAACATTAACATAATCAATATTGTTATAAATTTGAAAGCGTTTCTCGTATAAATAATTATGTAGAATTTAGAACTTCCTCGTTCACCAACTGTTCGTTAATTTAATTCAACCTATATTCATAACAAATATATTAACATTAGTTTGTGCTAAATTCTAAATAATGGAAATTGTGATTTACAAGTGTTAAAAATAGAAAACTTTGGAAAAATGCAACTTGCACAATATTAACACGTTTTTATTTGCCAAGTTTTATAAGTATGTAAGTTAATTTTAATATAGAATTGACAAATGTAAGGTTTTTATGTAGAAATCATTTATATTTAGTGAAACTAATTATTATATAATCACAAATAATGTACTAATTTATTGAAATCTGCTGCAAAAAAAATTTTCTCGATTCAGAACGTAATTGGATAGTTCTACTAAAATAATTAATTACACTTTATTCAATCTACAAACTTCTTTTTAGTTAAGAATTATACAAAATATACTTATTTATTTATATAATCAATGCTTATTTATTGAGAAAATCATAGTTTTTGATCAATTTCAACGACAATTAAAATAAATAACATTAATTTCAATTTGAAATTATATCCAAGTTAGGCAACCCTATATACACGCGTGTATAAAAACAATAGAATTTATTGTTAATTTTTTAATAATTGCAGTTGCAGTTTATTTATTTAAGGAAATATTCAATCAATTATGATTATAATTGATTTTTTAAACATTAATTATTGTTTCTCTTTTTGTTGTTATGTCTTTGGATTAAGAATTATTGAATGTTAAAAATATTTGAAATTGATATTAGTTTATGTTAGGCAAACAAATATACATCTAATCAGGATTTTCAAATATATTTCAGGATGCGGGAGTACGTGGAGGAGAACGAGAAGAACGACCCATTGATCCACGCCCCGGACAAGAAGAACAATCCGTGGGCCGAGAAAGGAAAATGCGTGATCATGTAGAGAAGACGCCAACGCCGAACATTCCTCACCAAAAGAAAAAAGAAAACAAAACAAAAAAAAAAGAACAAACCAACAGCAAGCATAATACAAACAAAACAAAGCAACATGGTTTATTTTATCTCCGTACACACGAAACACCAACCCGTTCCTCCGGACTTCTGGGCTTCGATCCTACCTATCTTCACCACAAGCACTCGACGCATCTCAACACTCCACCAAAAAAAAAAAAGACTCATCGCACCAGAACTACAAAGGACCTCCAAGTTCTTCGCATATCAAAGCCCCCCTTGTAAACTCGTATGATTTTCCCGCATTTTGGTGTAATTGTTAAAGGATGAAGATGAGCAAGAGGACGAAGAAGAAGAAGAAGTAAAAAGAAGATCAATTGTTATGTAGTTTTTTAAAATAAGAGTTTGCATGTGTTTCGAAACATAGAAGAGAAGAACAACAATCATATATATATATATACGTAGCGCGCTTTTTTTTTTAAATCTGGGAATTTCGTTTTCGATCGTTTCGTCGACGCTAGTCAACTGAGGGTTTTTGGCGATTAGTTTGAGGGTTTTGTGATTGGAGAGGCGGACGTTCGCGGCGGCACCGCGCCCTTATTTCAAACACTTCCTGTTTTCCGGGTTTCGGTTCGATTTCGTTTCGGTCCTTTCGATTGAAGATGGAAAAAAAAGAAACGGTTAAAGAAAATGAAGAAGAATATAGAAGATCCGGGGGTCTTCGGCGGAACGGGATGGCCGTTTCGCAAATTGCCTGCGCCGACATGGATTGAGCAACTTCCTAATGACCATCACCAAACAACATCGAACACTGACTTAGGCGTTTCGTGGCAGATTTCCATCGCGAAACCGCCGCTCCTTCGGCCGGAGCCGCCCCAAGCGCTCAAACGCTGACAGTGTGTAAACGATTAAACTAAAACATTAAAATATAAATTTGTAATTAATTAAGTTGGCCGCGGCGGATTTTTTAAGACACCCCCTGAAGCCGCGCTCCCCTCGGATGCCCGCCCTTCGCATCGGTTCGCGAGCGCCCGCGCCTGGGGGAATCCCCCGCAGGACAACACCTAAATAAATAAACGGTAACTAGTGGTTACCCATTAAAGAAACTAAGCGAGAGCATGATAAAACTTATTAAGAGAGATAGATGGCTGTCAGTTCCGAAGAACGAACTTTAAGAACATCTTTGACGACGGATATATTAATAATAATAATAACATTAACGATGGACTCAACATTTAACTTTTTTCTTAAACTTAACATTTAAATTAAAACGGCTTTGCTTAAGAAGATTTCCGTGAACTTCGCTTCCTAGCTCAAAGTGTACTCTTATACAAATATAATATAAAAACTATACAAAACTAAATTAGTGGAGGAGGAATTTCGCGCTGAATTATTGGTAAAAACGCCTCTTTAGCAAATTTTTCTCTTTAGCGAACTTAACTAATTAATTGATTAAACGAGAAAAACAAAAAAATTATAATTGTTAAAAAAAAAAGAGTAAACAAATGAATTTAAAAAAAAAGCTTTAGTGTTGAAACTAAAGCGTAAATTGTTCTTGTTGCGCGAAGCGAACTAATTAAAACGAGTTGATTAAAAGAAAAAAAACTTAATTAAATTTAAAAAAAAAATGAAGTGTATTGTTAATTAACCATAGGTTTCTAGCGGATACTCTAGTCAATAATTTTAAGGTGTTTGAAAGTAATGTTAATAAGGATTAGCAAACAATACTTGTGACAAATTTTCGGGATCTGCAAATGATACTTAAATAATGAAAACCAAATGTAAAACACACACACTAAAAACACCAAAGACGCCGACGAATTTTTTGCGCCGCGAATTAAGAACTTCGAAGAAAAAAAAACCCTCTCAAAAAAAAAAAAAAAAAATATTAATTACTAATTAGTCCCAAAGCCACCCTCAGGTTATAATTGTAATTGTTTTATTTATTGTTTCATTTTGTCATCGTTTCTTCTTGGTTTTCATTTTTTTTTTTTTTTTAATATACTTTTTTTCTTTTCTTAGTTACTTAAAGCCGTAACTTTTTTGAAAGAAGAAAATTAATAATGTGTAATACTATGTAATATGTAAGGAGATAATGTTGTTCGATCGAGAACGATTCTTGACCTTCCTTTATAATTCGTACTTAATAATTGATATATAATTAATTAATAATAAAAAAAAAAGAAAACATATTTGTAATGACTTGAGAAGACGGTGGAGAGTATTGATAATAAAATCGAGAAGAAAATGTAAGAAAAAAATAATTATTCTAAATAAACATGTAAAGAGTTTCAAAGAAATTTTGTTTGTTATGTGTAAAATTTTAATTCCCAATAATTTCCTTACAATATTTCGTATATAATTTAAATTGTTGTGAATATTATGAAACTTCTTTAATAATACTCTTTCAGAAAACTATTGAACATATACATAGGGTGGTAGACGTGATTGGTAGAAGATTGGATGAGAAATACTACTGCTCCGCCGCTTTTCTTGACATCTCCCAGGCCTTTGACAGAGTGTGGTATGAAGGACTACTCTACAAACTGAAAAGATGTCTCTCAAGTCCATACTTCGACATATTCCGCTCATATCTAACGGGAAGGTACTTCCAGGTAAAGCTGAACGAGGAGTTAACTTCGTTACGACCCATTTTCTCCGCTGTTCCTCAGGGTAGTGTTTCTGGGCCCTTACTAAACTTGCTGTGACTACTTTTGCCGACGACAATAACATCCAAGTTTGGCTCAAGAAATGGAAGATTAAAGCGATCTGATCCAGAGGTTCCAATCAAAACCGCTGAGAATGGTCACCAGACTACCGTGGTATATAACAAACGATGATATCCATTCCTTCACCGACACCAAACTAATGAAGGAAGAGATAGAGTTAATTATCTGGATATTCACCGAAAACCCCTTGCTATGTCGCTTTCTCTCACAGAGATTGAAGATTGAAGTGTTTCAAGCCCTAATACCTACAAAATCGTCTTTAGAATAAGTAGTTTATGAGTGCGTCTGCCTTTAAAGTGATTATGTTAAGGTTGATTACTGGACCAATCCCTTGACTTTTTTATATTTTTGTTTTGTTTTAATTGTCCAGTTCATTGCCTCATGTGAGATAGATGGCCGAGAAAAAAAAAGATTTCTATAATTAAGTTTGAAACACATTTTTTTTATTCGAATTGGTCCACTTTTACTCAATATACATATTTTATTTATGATACAGAACTTTCTCGGTTCAAATTCAAATATTTGACTTAATTTTGACTCCAAATAGAAATTATTTTTTTCCCTTTTTTTATAGATCTTAATGATTTCTTCCTTGATTTGATTTAGGTTTTGTCTAATTTCTTAGTTAACAATATCATTTTGATTCTTCAAAAATAACTTGATTGATTCGAACTATGACTTAGTTTTAAATATAATTCTAATTTACTGAATACAATATCAAAAATGAATGTATTGTTTTTAATGTCTATATTAATATTTTAATGTACATACAGTACATCATGACAACACGAAGATGTCAAAAGACTCGTTGGAAAGGTGAGATAAACAGATTCACTTAGTTGATGATTTCATTATCTTTAGGGGTTGTCGAGAAATTCACGAAAGACTGAAAAAAATCGCAAAAATCGTCTATTTGTAACAAACATCAAGTAAATTTTGCTTCATTAAGAAAAAACGTGAAAAACAGGAAACTTGAAAATCCTATTCATTTTTTTTTCCAATTTCTACAGCTCGTAGTAGGCAACTTAACAACAGCACGAAGATGCCAGTAGGCTCGTTGGAAAGTTGAGATATTCAGCTTTCAATTGAGTTATCGATGATGTAATTATCTTAAAGGGTTGTCAAGAAATTCACGAAAGACTGAAAAAAATCGTCTATTCCCTGTTACGTAACGAACATCAAGTAAATTTTGCGTCATAAAAAGTTGTGTAAGGGTTGCGCCCATCTTACGCAATCATGAAATGCAACAAAAGTTACGTAATTTTCGTGTAATTAAGAAGAAACGTGAAAAACAGGAAATCCTATTCACTTTTTTTTCCCAATTTCTACAGCTCATTGCAGGCAACTCGACGACAGTACGAAGATGTCAATAGGCTCGTTGAAAAGGTGAGACATTCAGCTTTCATACGAGTAGTCGAAGTTACGTAATTTTCGTGTAATTAAGAAAAAACGTGAAAAACAGAAAACTCGAAAATCCTATTCACTTTTTTATTTCTACAACTCGTAGTAGGCAACTCAATAACAGCACGAAGATGCCAGTAGGCTCGTTGGAAAGTTGAGATATTCAGCTTTCAATTGAGTTGTCGATGATGTAATTATCTTAAAGGGTTGTCGAGAAATTCACTAAAGACTGAAAAAAATCGCAAAAATCGTCTATTCCCTGTTACGTAACGAACTCAAGTAAATTTTGCGTCATAAAAAGTTGTGTAAGGGTAGCACCCATCTTACGCAATCATGAAATGCAACAAAAGTTACGTACTTTTCGTGTAATTAGGAAAAAACGTGAAAAACAAAACTCGAAAATCCTATTCACTTTTTTTCCAATTTCTACAGCTCATTGCAAGCGACTCGACGACAGTACGAAGAAGGCTTGTTGGAAAGTTGCTATATTCAGCTTTCAATTGAGATGTCGATGATGTAATTATCTTAAGGGGTTGTCGAGAAATTGACGAATGTTTGAAAACAAATCGGTAGCACATGATGACTTTGTGAAGCCCTAGTCGCAACCTGATTTGGAGGCCCTTTATACACTCTACTATAAAAATCAGTAACGTTGCACAGTGTACATAAGGTAGTTATAGAGAACTTCAATAATAAACGGAAGACGTTGGCTTTTAAAGTTTAGTTCTTCGGTTGGTTTCTAAAATGAACCGTTAATTATCGGATGGAAAATAGAAACGTCGAGAAATTTGATCAAATTGTGGGCGATATTCGTTACTATATACATATATAATTTATTTTTTTTTGCTGTCGATGATGTTGTTGTTTTGTTTCCGTTTGTAAATGAAATGAGTAAACGTGAGCGAGCGAGCGAGTGAGTGAGTGAGAAGTCGCGGGTGAGCGATTCGGGCCATGAGGTCGCTCCACTAGGTCAAACCTCTCTCGCGCGCACCACACACATGCAGACATTCATACACACACTCAAACTCATACACTGGCACGAGCCAATCTTTCGACTCGGAGAAGAAGTAAACCTCGAGGTTTCGAACCTCTTCAACGCGCACGATTTTCGTTTCCCGTGAATCCAAAACAAATCCGATTTCAAATTCGCATCGAATCGTTCACCAAGAGCTATTACTACTACAACAACATTCTTAACCCACTGACACTGAAAGAGCGGTCGAGAAGGGTGAAAGTTCTGATTTAGATTGTTTTTTTCTTCTTTTTCTTCTTCACAAATCCTGCCTGCTGCTGTTGCTCTTGTTTATAAACATCTCTTTCTTTTGATTTCTTCATCTTCTTTGCTTGTGGATGGATGGACCGAGCGTTCGTGTGCCGGCGCCTTTCACTCTGCTCTGCTCCATCCTCTCCGGTTTTAGAGGAGACCATTTTCCACGTTCGTATACGTACGTGCGATTTGCTTTTGAATGGTGAGAGTTTAGCCAGGCATAGAACACGACTTGCTCGGCCGCAGCACAACACTCTCTGTGTATGAGTGTGTGTATGTGTATGTAGTTTGTGTGTGAGTGTTGTATTATTATTCACTAAGTCAGTCACTCAGTCAGTGTGTCGGACCGACCATCGTTTCATCACCATCGCGGTTTCGTTACAACCATCATCATCGATACATCCTCTTCAGCAAACTCATTTTTTTTTTCTTCTTCTATATTTCTTTCAATCAGGTAAGCACATTTTCTTTAATTTACCCAAAAAAAAACATCACCCAAAGTATAACTATTTTTTTCACTTAGTTAACAATTTAATTATATAATGTTATACAGCTTCATTCATTTTTTAATTATTGTACTACAAATTCCTAATTATTCACACGAATCCATTATTTCATCATAATTATAAAAAAAAAATACTATTACGTTTTCACTTTTGGAAATAGACCAGATGCGATTCCAAAATTGGTGCCGATTCGTGAATAATTGCATTTCAAATGCTAAATAAATCTATAGACTCATCCTATATACTTTTTTTCTTTTTGATTCGACTTGAATACCAATTTTCTGACATATCTGCGTCATTATTTTTTGCACGAATCTAGTTATGCGTACGTGTTTCATTTTTTTTAAATCAAATTTTCTATGTTTGAAAGTTTTAGAGTTAATAAGAAATATTTGTACATTTCTAATGTAAAAATAATCAGGGACAAATGCTAATTGAATTTTTTTTTTTAAAGGCTTCAAATTTCATTCATATCAAATTACATACAATCTATTACAGAATACTTTACTATTACAGAATTTATTTGTTTTAATATATTCTTGTATTATTTTAGTTTTTGTCATTGAAACAAATTTTCATTATTTAAACTTTTACAAAAAAAAAATCAAGTGTTCTCTTGGGAATTGTCAAAATATGACAATTAAAAAGAGTCCTTAGCAACGTAACAAACTTTGTAGCAATATTGAAGTATTATTTTAGTAATTACCATAGCAACATAAGAAAACTAATTAAAAATAGTTTTTTTTTATTAAAGTACGTGTATATTCGTATTGAGGTTTATACTCAATACTAATTTTTAATTAAAATAGTTAAACAAATTTGTATCAACTTTGACCTTAAATTATATATTGTGCATATGTGCCACAATGTACAAAATATACTCATTTTATAACTTAATTAATTGGGAATTATATGCATATTGATATAAATATCTGTCTAATATAATTATCGAGAAAATCGCAATAATCCGAAGACATGTTTTAAAGCTTTGAAATAGTTAAAAAATAAATGATGTCATAATCATAAGTGTTACAATTCAATTTGTATACTTTAAAGCAGGGTTTCCAAAACTGTTCTTGCAACGTAACACTTCGTAAATCCTGAAATTTGCACACATAAACCAAAAAATTAAAAAAAAAAATGAGAACAAAAAACATTTCATTCCACACCTATTAACATAGTTTGGGAAATCCTGCTTTAAAGTATTGGTTTTCTTATGATTTTTCATTTTTTTAATGTAGTTTTAGAAATATATAAGACAATAATGATATTTTTTGTTCAATTTTTATTAGGATATACACGATTATTGTAAATGTTATAACTGATTATTTATGCTTAGTAATGTTGGCTGCAATATGAATATTTATAATTGAAGTAGTTGTTGAGAAATGTGAAGCCTTTTAAAGTTTGATATGTCATTGTTTAGAAATACGAGGAACAATTAAATTATATATAGTGCATATGTGCCACAATGTACAAAATATACTCATTTTATAACTTAATTAATTGGGAATTATATGCATATTGATATAAATATCTGTCTAATATAATTTTCGAGAAAATCGCAATAATCCGAAGACATGTTTTGAACCTTTGAAATAGTTAAAAAATAAATGATGTCATAATCATTGGTGTTACAATTCGATTTGCATACTTTAAACCAGGGTTTCCAAAACTTTTTTTGCAACGTAACACTTGGTAAATCCTGAAATTTGCACACATAAACCAAAAAAAAAAATGAGAACAAAAAACATTCATTATTTATTTAGTAATTATTTCATTCCAGGTTACACCTATTAACATAATTTGGGAAACCCTGCTTTAAAGTATTGGTTTTCTTATGATTTTTCATTTTTTTTAATGTAGTTTTTGAAATATATAAGACAATAATGACATTTTTTGTTCAATTTTTATTAGGAATTGCACGATTATTGTAAATGTTATAACTGATTATTTATGCTCTGTAATGTTGGCTGCAATATGAATATTTATAATTGAAGTAGTTGTTGTGAAATGTGAAGCCTTTTAAAGTTTAAAATGTCATTGTTTAGAAATACGAGGAACAATTAAATTATATATAGTGCATATGTGCCACAATGTACAAAATATACTCATTTTATAACTTAATTAATTGGGAATTATATGCATATTGATATAAATATCTGTCTAATATAATTATCGAGAAAATCGCAATAATCCGAAGACATGTTTTGAACCTTTGAAATAGTTAAAAATTAAATGATGTCATAATCATTGGTGTTACAATTCGATTTGCATACTTTAAACCAGGGTTTCCAAAACTTTTATTGCAACGTAACACTTGGTAAATCCTGAAATTTGCACACATAAACCAAAAAAAAATGAGAACAAAAAACATTTCATTCTACACCTATTAACATAGTTTGGGAAATCGTGCTTTAAACTTTTGGTTTTTAATGTAGTTTTTGAAATATATAAGACAACAATGATATTTTTTGTTCAATTTTTATTAGGAATTGCACGATTATTGTAAATGTTATAACTGATTATTTATGCTCTGTAATGTTGGCTGCAATATGAATATTTATAATTAAAGTAGTTGTTGAGAAATGTGAAGCCTTTTAAAGTTTAAAATGTCATTGTTTTTGTTGCGTTTAGAAATACGAGGAACAATTAAATCCATCGTCACTTCTAATTAGTGTATTTACCATTGGCGATTTCTATTAGAAACCGTCCGGAAACGAGGTCCGAGATCTTCGGAAGATTTCTAATGGACGCGTGTAATCTTCACTCGAGTGCTGTATTTCTATGTGTTCTTTTTTGCGCTAGATCGAGAGAGAAACATGCCTGAGAACTGCAAATCGTGCACGATGAGGGACGCCAACAACAACACGTATCCAGGTCCGATCGGCGGGAAATCCTCGTCGGGGAAGACCAAAAGCGTACAGGTGACTGCGAAAGTCCTCTTCGGCTCGGTGCAAGCCATCACCAGGTTGAAGCAGGAGGAGAAGGCGGCCAGGGAGAACAAACGCATCTAAAAACAATAACGTAAGTCGAACTTTAACATCGTGACTTTCTCTGATCTCCGCAAATAAAATTCGGAAGATTTTCGACCCATTTCCGTCAAGGACACGAATCCGTGAAAGTCACAAGAACGCGCGCGGTGAAAGCACGAAAATTGTTTGTGCAAACATCGAGAGAAGAAATAAAAAAATAAAGCAAATCGTAATGTATATCTCAGGCCGTCATTAAAACGCGATGACTTCGGGGCTTTCGTCTCCTGATGATGATCTCTGTGTGTTTGTGTGTTTTTTTCTTCTATCTTCATTACTCTCGGCTCACTCTACTTCTTCGTGCGCGTTTTGTTTGTTCTTCTCTCGTGTTTTTTTTGGGATATTATAGCACGAAGGATAACTGTATACCTCTTTGGAGGTGACGAGAAGACGAGGAGAGGCGAATCCGTTCAGTGCTTCGGTTTTATTTCGATTCGTAGCATCTACTTTACCGTTAACGCGCGTCTCCCATCGAATACACACTTAAGCAAACACACTTTTCGGTTGCCGAAAAAATAAACGGGCGATGATTCGATGATGTCTCTGAGGTAATCGAAGAATCTTTCTTATTGGGGAGATGAAACATTAGCAAAAACTATTGTTTCGTTTTTTTGAAAGTGTTTCGTAACAAGTTTTCGTATGTTTTTCAGAACGCAATTCAGCGCATTCGCGGTGGTTCTCCTCGTGGGTTCCACCCTGACGACACCGACGGTTACGCAACTGACGAAGACGACTGTAAATACAACGACGAACGACGATGCTTTGGATAGGATTCTTTTGGACGACGATGATTGGAGCATGCCCCAGGCGGAAGTGGACGAAGCCGTCGTCGAGGGGCTGCAGATGATGCACGACCTGCACCACGTCAAAGAACCCGAACTCTACAACCTAGGTAAATCTACTAAAAACTTAATTAATTAACAAATTAACGATGATTGTTTCATTATCTTCAGGACTATTCCTGAACGAGAACGAACCTGCGGCGCGCGTTGCCATGTTCAGCGCTCCCAATCCCAGAGCCCAGATGCAGGCGAGGTTCGGGTACGCGGCGGTCCAGGCCTCTCTGAAGCTACGCAAGAAGTGAGTATGAAAACGAAACAAAAAAAAAAACGTAAAAGAAACTCAATTCTTCCTCCTCGAGAAAGTATCGGGAAATTATATTCTTTTGCTCCCCGTAATTTCTAACCATTATCTATCATCCCACCTGCTCGCATCCACGCACAAAAGGTAAGGGAAAGTTTTCGCGCGACGCGTATAAGTGCTATGGTCTGCATAGACATTTCCCACAGTCCTTCTTGTGCGCGACTCCGCAAGTCAGATGGATCAGGTAAAAACAATAATATAAATATTTCTCTCTCAATTAAATCGGATCGGTCCAGATCCATTTGAAATCGTTTGAACTTTCTCTCCAGCATCACAACAATTCATATTTCCTCATCTTACTTTCACGTTCGTCTTTAGGAATCCCTTTAAAGATCATCCGAATTTATCAAATTAAGCCTATTCAACGGTAATCTCTTAGTTTACCGTCAACGAAGATTTTTGACCGCTTTATTACGGTCACTCGTTTCGGAAACCATAAAAAAAAAAGAATGAGAACTGGCTTAACATACTTTTTCTTTGGTAAATCCTGCAAGTCATCAAATTTAGATGTATTTTTTGTTTATTAATGTAATTATCCTTAATTATCTTCCTCTTCATTCGTTTCCAACTCATTTCTTATATTTGTTTACAAAAAAATATATAAATATATTTAATTGAAACGTGTTGATAGTTTTGTGCGCATTATTATTCAAATATTATCAATATAAAATTGGTTTGGTTAAAATGTTTATTGACATGTGCAACAACATTTCTTTTTTTTTAATAATTGTATACACTTTAGACCTGTTTGAAAATGAAAACTTATTTTCACTTGCCGCAAACTTTCTTTTTGATTATTATAGAAATAATTATGTATCAATTGAATGAAAACTAATATGCATTCATTTCTATATTTGTTCCATGTCCTTTCTTGTTCAAGCTGTGACCTCTTTGAAAACTTTCGATTTCGTGTTAAAATTTTCTTGATTGGTTCTAAAATTTGTTTTGTTAACTTTTTTTCTTTGTTTCTGGTTTGAAGATTTGCGGACAGCCGAAGCAGGCAGAACCCGGAGACGGTGGAGCTGCTGAGGTCATCGGTTTTCGCTGATCAGTGTCCTCTGCGCGGTCTTCCGAGATGTCCACCGGCTTCTCTTCGGTACCGAACTTCAGATGGGGCATGCAACAATATAGCGGAACCCTGGAAGGGTGCTTCCATGTTACCGATGCAGCGCTTCCTTCTGCCGCAGTACGAGGATGGCGTCCAAAGTCCGCGAGCTTCGCTCCTCGGTTTCCCATTGCCGTCGCCGAGGGAGATCAGCATTCGCGTGCATCGGGATCGAGACGTGGAGATGAGCACGGTGACGATGATGTTCATGCAGTGGGGTCAGTTCCTCGATCACGATGTCACCTCGACAGCCCAAACGAGAGCGTTCAACAGATCCATACCGAGATGCTGCGCTCCAGGAGGCACCGGTTTTCTACCACCTGACTTTCTGGTAATTTTATTTTGCAAAAACCACTCTATACATATTTTTTTTTACTAACTTTGAATGTTAAGCATCCGGATTGCATGCCGATTGCGGTGCCGGAAGATGATAGGTTCTTGGGAAGGTTCGGTATTCGGTGCATAGAGTTCATCAGGAGTGCACCGTCTTCACGAATCGATTGTCATCTTGGTTGGAGGGAGCAGATTAATCAAGTGACCAGTTACATTGATGCTTCAACTGTTTACGGAAGCGACGCGCAGAAAGCTGATTCTCTGAGGTTGTTCAGAGGTGGACTGCTGCAATACGGAAGACCGAGGAACGTGCAGAATCCTCCGGATCCACCGGGCGGTGAAATCTGCAGATTGGGAGCCGTGTCTCCTCAATGCTTCAAAGGCGGAGATTCCCGAGCCGGAGAGCAGACGGGTCTCACGGCTTTTCACACAGTTTTCCTCAGGTACCACAACCGTTTGGCCGCTGCTTTGGGTCAACTCAATCCCCATTGGAGCGACGAGAAGATTTACCAAGAGACGCGACGCATAGTTGGCGCACTCATCCAACAGATCACTTACAAAGAGTTTCTACCTGTGCTGCTTGGGGAAGAAGTCATGCGATTGTTCGATCTTGATTTACTCCAGAAGGGTTACTACAACGGATACGATGGTAGAGTAAACCCATCTCCTGCTAATTCCTTCAGCGCGGCGGCCTTCAGATTTGGTCACAGCCTCGTGCAGAACTCTTACGTGCGCAGCGACCCTCTTCACAGACCCATTTTCAACAGTAATTATAACACCTAATCAATAGTTTTTCAACAATTCAAATTGTTAATTTATCTTCAGATGTGACGATCCACAACGAACAAGCCAATCCGGAGAACATCTGGAGCTTCGGCTCTTTGGATCGCGTCATCTTGGGCTTCTCCAATCAACCCTCGCAACGCAGAGACGAATTCATAGCGCGAGAGCTCACTCAACATCTCTTCCAATCACCGGGTCAACCTTTCGGCATGGATTTGGCCGCTTTGAACATACAAAGAGGTAGAGATCACGGCGTTCCTTCCTACACTTCTTGGAGGGAACCCTGCGGCTTAACACCAGTAGACACTTGGGAGGATCTCGAAGCTTTGATGTCTTTCGAGACGATCCAAAGATTTCGCAGTCTTTACACGCACGTAGAAGACATCGATTTGTACCCTGGGGGATTAGCCGAAAGGCCGGTTCGTGGTGGAGTTGTAGGACCAACCTTTGCATGTATCATAGCACAACAATTTAGCAACTTCCGGAAAGGCGATCGCTTCTGGTACGAGAACGGTAACTTCGAATCTTCCTTCACTCCCGCACAATTGCAGCAAATAAGACGCTTAACTTACGCGCACATTTTATGCCACGTGCTTCCCGAAGTTCAAACTCTTCAGCCGTTCGTTTTCCTCACCTCGGACAACTTCAGGAACGAGCGTTTATCGTGTAAAAGTCCAGAATTGGATAACTTCGATATTAGGGCTTGGGCGGAAAGGCAGTTTGATTTCACCAGTGCCAACGTGATCGACGATAAAATAGACAATATAAGAGTTAAAATCGAGGAGTTTGGTAAAGAGGCGAAAGTCACCCTCACCAATAAACTGAACTTCGGCAAGAATAAAACCGTTGACAACAAGTTGAACTTTAACTCGACGACGCTGGAGAAGCTGCAGATTGTCGAAGTTAGCGACAAAATCGATTTTGATTTAAGTGGTAAGAAGAAAGATCAATTGACTGAAGATTTTGATGTGTTGTTCTTCACGTCCAATAAAGGCGTGGAGAAAGATAATAAGGGTGACATCAAGAGGAAAGACGTTGATATTAATCAGATCTTCGATTTTAATAAAAAGGTGTTTAAGAGGAGTTTGAGTGATTACGATTATGATTACGAGGAGGAAGAAGGTAGAAAGAATAAGAAACGGAAGAAGAAGCCTACCAGGAGAGTCACGACAACGAGGAGAACAACAAAGAAGTCTTCTCCAATAACATCGGATTTTTATAATCCCTTGAAGATCAAGGTTACTAATATTACCACGTCGACTGTGAATTTGAATGATGATAAGTATGGTAATAGTAATTACCATTACAGACCTCGACCTTATTACCCGGACGATGATCTCTTCGTGCTCCATCCGACGATATCTAAACCCAATCGAAAGGTGACGTACATCCAGAACGTGGTGAAGACAACGGAAAGACCTCGATCGCCCGAGTATCAAGTCAACATCAACATCCAATATTTATCCCCGAGCACTCCAAAAACTGATATAATCATCAAGAAACCGCACATCGAGATCCTGCAAAGCCAGTACTTGCCTGTGCAGAATTACCAGACGAAGAGACCCAAACCTGTGCAAAGCACAACCAAAAGAACCGATCCCTACTCGCTATACGAATACCCGACAAAGTTCAGTAGTTACGCGACGCAAAGACCTTACGAAGACGTGACCAGACGACCCAGACCGAGACCAAGACCACCGACTTACGACAACCCCAGACCCTACGACTATGACAGTACTGAAAGACCCTTATACCAATATTACGACAAGGTGACGCAACGACCGACCCACTATTATTACAATGACGACGACATTAAGTACGAGAACAGACCGTTTTCGACGTCGAAAAGACCTTACATTTACAAACCGTCGCAGAGTTATTTGGCCCTTTTCGGGGAGGCGACTGAACGACCCTCGTACTCTTCGGCGTACGTGGAGAAGGTCACCCGCATCCCCGGTTACCTCTATTTACAGAACACCGATAAATATTATAAAGAGACCGGCGACGATGAGCGCAAGTTCGTGAAGATCTCCTCGGTGCAAGGCAACAAATACCTGAGTAATCGCGAGGAGTTCATAAACACGGCCCAGCAGAAGGAAGGCGATTTAGAACTCGAAACGAATTCAAACGCGCAAGACAGATCAGATGATGTTGATAAACTGCTGGTGGATGTTATACCAAGGGAGAGCAGGTAAGCTATAACATTTTCAAAACGCTACAACAATCTAATAATAACTTTAATTACAGAAATGGAGATTGGCTTATGTTCGATGAAGACACGGAAATCTCAAAATTCCTAAACCCCATGTATCGCACGGTGACCGACACGGCCAGGGAATTACCGAAACCTTTACGCGCTTTCTGGGACAGACCAACATTCAAGAAGACCTAATTTACACGACAGACAGACAGATTAATTTAAACATTACCTAACGGAAATTTTAGACAGACAATTTGACCTGTACATATTTACCTATGACTTAGTATTTATTCTATATTTATATCGTAATCTTATTATTTATTTATTTACACGCCTAGTTTCGACGGTGCACGTGCGACCAGACGCAAAGATATTTCAAGACATCGCCTAAACTAGGCTTAATTTAAGATGACTTAAAACTTTCTCGAAGGAGAAAAGTGTACGATTAACCGGCTACAAGAAAGCTGCCCACTCTATCATTTATTTAATCCAAATCGAAGATATCATTGGTATATTGTGTATATATACGTTTATTTATTCCATTCAAAATATATTATATTTATTCTAAATCAATCTTTCATTTCCTCTTTTCATCTTAAGATTTCAACCAAGTAATAAAAAAAATATAATATTCTTAAAAAAAGTATATTTTGCGAGTTTTCTAATGAAACGAAGTATACAATTCTTGTTATATAATGATTAACAAGAATTCCATAATATATGCAACCGTATGTTACAGGTTTAATGTACATTTGGTTGCCTATACTAAGATATTTGAAATATACGTTTTGCCAGTGACCCCAAAAATGTTTCTGCTACACGTGGTTAATACGTGAAGTTTAAAAAGATCCTTCAATTAACAAGTTGGGAGGTGCACGAATATAATCATGTGACCTTTTCATATGCTTTTTAAGCTTCTGTTACGTGACAATTCAAAAAAGGAATCAAACGTGTTTGATTGCATACGATTAGTTAATTAGAAGGTTTTCATCAACAATAGTCTATCGACCTAAAAAAAAAGTGATGGTGACTGACTAATTACTTTCATTCTTTTAGTTCCAAATGAAATTTGTATATTTTTACGTAATAATTTTTTTTCCGAAAGTCAATAAAAACTACTAGATCTTGGTAATAAATATTTGTTTATGTACATTAAAAAAAACACTATGTAAATCTCGTTATGAATTATATAAAAAAAAAATATTTGTACTAAGATTCATTTCCTTTACAATTATTAGTGTCCGTTTGCACGTTTACACATCCACAGTTACCTGTTTCATATTTGTTAATCAAATCCCCATTTTATATTTCACTTTATACTAATGCGCCATCTTCTGTTTTTCTTTTTCAATAAACATATAAATTTTAATCAATGAATTACATTCATTACAAAATAGTTCAATTTTAAAAATTTGAATTTAAATATTATAGAGTTTTAAAGCTTGTATAGTTTTTTGGGCGAATTAATGTGTTTGTTTGGGAGAATTTAGTTAAAATTTGATTATGAAACGGGCAGTTTTTTTTTGCTTTAAAGTTTTTGGCACTTTTTGTGATTGTTTGTTGCTAGGCAGCAGCGCACTTGTTCAGTCGTCGTCTTTCTTTTTGCGGATTTTCCCTTCGCGCTGTATCGTGTTGGTGACGGCCTGGATGCTGGTCGACGTCTCCGGTGAGTCATCGAGGATGTTCGCGAGGCTTTCGATGTAGCTGCACGCGATCCTGAGGACGCTCAGCTTGGAGAGCTTCTGGGAATGAGAGTAGGCGGGTACGGATCGTCGGAGGGTATCGAAGGCGGCGCTGATGGTGTGCACCCTGGTACGTTCCCGTGCGTTCGCTTCGATGCGACGCTCTCGCGTCATATTCTTGTAGTTCCTCTGCTCCTTCCGAAGCTTGGGGAAGTTGTCCATCGAGGTGGAGAGGACGTTCTCCATTTCTTGGACGGCGTCCATAGGGTCCGGATGGATGGGAACTCGAGGCTGCGCATCTTCGAGTGAAACAGATGGTGATGGTTCGCACGGGACCTTCTTCAGGTCCACCGGTTGAGGCATCGGCGACGGCGGCCTGAAGTACTGGTGGACCGCAGGCTGCGTGTTCCATGGTCTGAACGGGGTAACGACGGTGGCCGCATCTTCCTCGCTGTTCCTCAAGCAGATGCGCTTCTTCAGCGGACCGCACTCGCTGATCTTCCGCGGCTCGTTGGACTTCCTCTTGGAGCGCGCCAGTATCGCTTCGACCTTGACTTCCACCGAATCCTCGCTGCTGTCGGTAGGCGAGTGCGGACTTGATGACATAATGTACATGTCTGGCGTCGGGGTCGTTCTTTCCATTCCTTTTCCTGATACCAAAAAGAGAAGAAAAAGAAAGTTAAATAATTGTTGTGGTGAATGGGTGGATTGATGTTGCGTACCTTTAATGAAAATAGATCTTAGATTTCCATTCGTCATAATCCGTTTTTGTAGGAATTGCTAGCTCCTTGACTTCAACAATCACCCAATAAAACAATAAAAATAAAACCAACAATAACAGTCACAAGAACAAACAATTACACAATAACCGATTGGCACCACTCGATGCAGACAGGGATGTTGTCCACTAGATACTAGGTAGTAGTAGTTGTAGTAGATGCGGGTGCAGCGAACAAGAAGAAGGGCCGTCCGGACTTTTATGATGCGAGTTGAAAGTTATTTCGGGGATGCTGTCGCGACGGCGTCTGAGCGCGTTGTGTTCTTGTTGTTTGTTGGTGGCAAATGTTTGGCCTCTCGAGCTGCACGAACGAAGACGGAGGTATCGGATTGCCGCTTCTGTTGGAGAGAGATGGGAAGACGAGATCGGCCTGGTCGGACGGACGGATGGATGGATGGTCGCGGTGGCGCCGAGTCGGACTGGCGCCAGTCTCGACGTCCCTCCGCGCCGCGCGCCGCCCTCCGATGGGTGTGAAGAATGCGGCCACAGGCACAGGTGCTGCACAATACACCACCCGCCGACAACACCTTCCAACCAACCAACCAACCAACCAACCTACCTATCTCTTTCTCTTGCTATCCCACTTCTTCTTTCACTCTTTCTCGTGCGCCCACAGACTCTCCTCTTCTCTCTTTCTCTCTCTCACTCCATCCAACACATCCAACAAAACGAAACGAGCTGCAGAGCGAGCGAACCGACCAACTCTCCTACCTGATTTCATTTAACTAACTAACCGGAACTATTTTGGACCTGTCAAGTATCCGTGTGGTAATTCTTAAATAGACCATCGAAAAGATAAAAAAGAAACGAACGAAATGCCAGATCTTGCTGCTCTTGCACTTCACATTCAAATCTCCGAAACCAGCACAATCGAAACTTAAAACTCCACTAAAACAACCTTATACTTAAAGATAACCATAGCTTCATTATAAACTAATAACAATAAACTTCTGATAACAATAACGTATAATTTTACCAATTAAATTACTTGATAAGAGCACTACAACGCGACAAGTTTTTTAATTTTAACATTCAAATTAATTATAGATAAACTTTGAAATACAAATAGATTTAGTTTAATTTGTAAGATTAAAGCGATTCTTAATTGATTATCATTAATAAATATTCTTTTTGATTGGATTAATACCGAACACTAATGACAAAAGTCTATAAGAAGAAAAGTTGTCGCAAAAGAAGAAATTAACTTTAAATCATAAATCTATCATAAAAGTGAAGAGTATCCAATACTCCAATGTTCAAGTACCCGTCAAACCTGCATCACTATCTTTTTCAGCAAACAGTTGGGAATCCGAGGAAAAGGGATTAACACCTAGAAAGTCAATTGTCGTTGGACAATTGCGGAGTGTCGTAATTTCTCAAGTACAAACCTCTCGACGGTCCTCGACATTTTATACCTAAGCCCTAAAAGAAATTCCCTTTACAATATAATAATAATAAAAAAAAAACCCAAACACTTTCCAGTTCGGATGAAACAGGTGCGTTTCGGTTTCGTTTGCAAAAGCCCAACGGACTTGGATGAGAGATGGAGAGCAAAAAGGTAATATAGTAGTAGCACCAACCGTTCTTCTTCTCCTCTCTTCTTCACTTTACAAAAATTCTCAACCCCTCTCATGTCGCACCTGTATCTTCTTCGAAAATTCCATCTGCTCGGCACAGTCGGACAGGTGTGTGTGTGTCTGTGTGTTCGAATTAGATTCAGTAATAACAAAGGACTCGCACATTTCAATTTTGTCTTACATTCTTATTGTATATTATCTTTTCTTGTTTAAATTTACATTTGTAATATATGTTAATTCATTAACAACAAATTAAGTGATTTAGATTAAAAGAATTAAATGTATATTATTGATTTTTGTGTGTGTGAGTCGATGTTGTGAGTAATCTAACTATAAGTTAACGTTAAGAGAATGCGGTAAAGAAAATAAATATGTTTCTTGCGTTGTTTATGGGAATGCGGATGATATTTATGTATGTTGGATGTGTTTGGATGCGGTGAGTAAGGGGAACGAATTGATCGTTTCAATTGTCGTACTTAGATTGTAATTATTTTCGAATCTCAAACACGGAAATCTCTTTCTCTCTCGCTCTCTCGAGTTCGTTTATTTGTTGCGGTCTGCAGTTACATCATTCTGCCTTGATTAAGTTGCTGCAGGATAAGATAGATAGTAAGTTGATACATTGTGCATTCGAAGTAATGCTGCTGAGTAAGCTGACTGTAATAACTTAGAGCGTCCAATAAACGCGGTGGGAATTGTTTCTTGCTCTCTGTTTGAGTGTGTGTGTGCGCGTATGTGGATGATACTTGTGATTGTGTGTGTGAATGTGAGTGTGTGTTGGATCAGTGTGGATGCAGTGACCGTGTCCGAGCGGCGCCAAAGCCGCGCCATAAATAATCCTTGCGTTCTGACTGTCGGTCTGTCTGGTCTGTTTGGGTCTGGCCTGTTTTCTTTTGATGCCTGACCAGATGGTCACAACAATTCTCTCGACGCTTCCTTGCTATCTCGGGCTTTCCTAAATATAATGATGCGTGTGTATGTATGCGTACGTATATAATGTACGATGAGAAAGGGGGAGAGTGGAAGAAGGAGAGAAGCGACCAGATGGAGGACACCAATAATACCAGATGCCATCTGCGCCGGATCCATGCAGCAGTGGTGTAATGTTTAGCAGGTGGATTTTTTTCCCGAAACGGAGGGGTTCGTTCGTTCTTTTCGCTCGCCGTTTCGTGTTTGCTGAGGATGAGCTGCGAACTGGGGAAGAGAGGAAAAAGCAAATCCCTCTTGCTTGCTGCTGGGATGATGACGACGGCTGGGTTCATGCGAGTGGATGGGAATGATGATGGTCTGGTGCCGTCTGACCATATAAGAGTTGTGCGTCCGGCTGGCGCCAGATGTTGATTTGCGTCCGACATCCAACCAACCAACCGACCGATCGGCCAAGCCACAAAGCGCACACCAGCAACGGAACCACGGAATCCAGCATACATGCACACCTCTATTGCTTCGATCCAGTCGCCATTCCTTCAACTTTCTTTTCAATTCTTTCTTTTTTTTTAAGAAGAAACAAACAAACGAAATTCTGTACGTTCGTCTCCTTCTGCAGCTTTTATCCTTTAAACTGTCTATATACTCTATTTATGTCTTGAATTCCTTTAACTTCGTTTCATACTTTAACTTTCCTGGTAATTTATACCAACTCTCAAGCAAGTTTTCTTTATAAATTCATTTTGATAAATATCTACGAAATTTCCCTCTTACATCTACAATATTCATATTTTCTACATCCTGATTATATTGCTTTTTTATTTCATTTACTTTTTAAAAGAAACAAAGAAATGAAATTTGAATTCCTTCAACTTCATTTCATACTTTAACTTTCCTAGTAATTTATACCAACTCTCAAGCAAGTTTTCTTTATAAATTAATTTTGATAAATATCTACGAAATTTCCCTCTTACATCTATAATATTCATAATTTCTACCTCCTGATTATATTGCTTTCTTTTCATTTACTTTTTAAAAGAAACAAAGAAACGAAATTTGAATTCTTTCAACTTCATTTCATACTTTAACTTTCTTAGTAATTTATACCAACTCTCAAGAAAGTTTTCTTTATAAATTAATTTTGATAAATATCTACTAAATTTCCCTCTTACATCTATAATATTCATAATTTCTACCTCCTGATTATATTGCTTTCTTTTCATTTACTTTTTAAAGAAACAAAGAAACGAAATTTGAATTCCTTCAACTTCATTTCATACTTTAACTTTCTTAGTAATTTATACCAACTCTCAAGCAAGTTTTCTTTGTAAATTCATTTTGATAAAAATCTACGAAACTTACATCTTTATAATTTATAATTTCAACATTGATTTATGTCTGGTAAAGAAATCCTAATTACATTGTTTTCTTTTCATTCATTTTTTTAAATTTAAACAAATAAACGTAAACTCTTCGTTTTTTGATAATTTTATAACAAGATGAGCTGAAAGCAACCTGCGGGGTCCACCTGTCCAATTTCGTCCAGATGCGGCCGCGAATTTACACGCGCTTCCGGAAAGAAACGACCGCAGGTGTCCAAAATTTACCTTCTGGTCGCACTTCCTTCCTTCGCTCCCACCTTTTGCCCTCTTATTATACCGAAGAAGTCCGTATCGGCTATGATGATGGATGGGAATAAATGCATCATCGACTTTAAAAACAGGCAGAATCGAAACAGTTTGCATGTGTCTGTCTGCCTGCCTCTGTGTTTCTCTCTGCCTGTTTGCATGTGTATTATGTATACGTATAAGTGTTATGTGTGTGTATGTGTGAGTTCGTTTCAACAGGCACCAACAGCAGGCTTATTATGTTAATTTCCCGTTGTCGCCAGATGTCTGATTTTAGCGGCATTCCAACAAACAACACATACATTCCACTCACATTCATGTGACAGGACAGGACGACTATGACGACGATGTGAACGTCGACGGGCGACAGTCGTCTCGACAAAAAATGCAAATCGAAAAAGAAAGTTCGACGCTGCAATAATTAAAAAAAAAAACAATAATTATCCACTCGCTGCATTGTTATCACAATTCACTTTCGTTTTTTTTTTTCTTCATCGTAACAATTCGCTATGTTATTAAATCAACAATTATCTGTTGTTCATTGTTTATTATGTATGCAATTATTCATATTCGAATTGAACATGAATTACGAAGGAGGCAATTATTTAGCAATAAGCAATTAAACAACAGTTTTAAAAGGTTTACAATTCCGAAATAATTTATAAGTGTTTTTCTTAACTTTATTCATAATTATTTACGTGCTTTATGATTTGTTTTTGTTAATTAAGTTTTATAATCAGTGATTGATGGAAATATTAACTGCAAATTATAAGTTGCAATTAGTAACATATGTGAAAAAAAGATAGTGAAATTTTAATATTCTATTGTTAAAAGAAGAGATAAGAAAAAAAACTTGTAACTCTTATTATTTTCTTAATGACTATAACTAGGTAATATCTATATATTACCTAGTCATATATTATATAGTGTTAAGTATTTTTCTTAACTTTATTCATAATTATTTACGTGCTTTAAGATTGATTTTTGTTAATTAAGTTTTATAATCATTGATTGATGGAAATATTAACTGCAAATTATAAGTTGCAATTAGTATCATATGTGAAAAAAGGTAGTGAAATTTTAATATTCTATTGTTAAAAGAAGAGATAAGAAAAAAAACAAACTTGTAACTCTTATTATTTTCTTAATGACTATAACTAGGTAATATCTATATATTACCTAGTCATATATTATATAGTGTTAAGTATTTTTCTTAACTTTATTCATAATTATTTACGTGCTTTAAGATTTGTTTTTGTTAATTAAGTTTTATAATCAGTGATTGATGGAAATATTAACTGCAAATTATTAGTTGCAATTAGTAACGTATGTGAAAAATGTTACGTTATGTAAAAAAAGGTAGTGAAATTTTAATATTCTATTGTTAAAAGAAGAGATAAGAAAAAAAAAACTTGTAACTCTTATTATTTTCTTAATGACTATAACTAAGGTAATATATAGATATTACCTAGTCATATATTATATAGTGTTAAGTATTTTTCTTAACTTTATTCATAATTATTTACGTGCTTTGAGATTTGTTTTTGTTAATTAAGTTTTTTAATCAGTGATTGATGGAAATATTAACTGCAAATTATAAGTTGCAATTAGTAACGTATGTGAAAAATGTTGCGTTATGTAAAAAAAAGGTAGTGAAATTTTAATATTCTATTGTTAAAAGAAGAGATAAGAAAAAAAAACTTGTAACTCTTATTATTTTCTTAATGACTAGTCATATATTATATAGTGTTAAGTATTTTTCTTAACTTTATTCATAATTATTTACGTGCTTTAATATTTGTTTTTGTTAATTAAGTTTTATAATCAGTGATTGATGGAAATATTAACTGCAAATTATAAGTTGCAATTAGTAACGTATGTGAAAAATGTTGCGTTATGTAAAAAAAAGGTAGTAAAATTTTAATATTCTATTGTTAAAAGAAGATATAAGAAAAAAAAACTTGTAACTCTTATTATTTTCTTAATGACTATAACTAGGTAATATTTATATATTACCTAGTCATATATTATATAGTGTTAAGTATTTTTCTTAACTTTATTCATAATTATTTACGGGCTTTAAGATTTGTTTTTGTTAATTAAATTTATTAATCAGTGATTGATGGAAATATTAACTACAAATTATAAGTTGCAATTAGTAACGTATGTGAAAAATGTTGCGTTATGTAAAAAAAGGTAGTGAAATTTTAATATTCTATTGTTAAAAGAAGATATAAGAAAAAAAAACTTGTAACTCTTATTATTTTCTTAATGACTACCTAGTCATATATTATATAGTGTTAAGTATTTTTCTTAACTTTATTCATAATTATTTAAAATTTATTTTTGTTAATTAAGTTTTATAATCATTGATTGATGAAAATATTAACTGCAAATTATAAGTTGCAATTAGTAACGTATGT